CTTCCCGGGCGCACGCGCTGCGCTCCCTTCTCTGCTGTCCGCTCGGCGCCCCGAGCGGGGCACACACTTCGGTCCTGCACGCTGACCATTTCTGATTTCATTTTCTTGGGTTCTGCACGTCGTGCATGCTGGCTTCCTGCAGTCCGGCGCGCCACTGCTCTGCGTCGCCGGCGAGGGGCGCGTGGGGCGCGTAACCCTCGCGCGGGGAGAAGGGAGGCCGGGTTCCCAGAGTGGGCCGGAGTAGGCGGAAGGGTCTCCTCGCCGACCGCGAGACTGCCAGGCCGGTTGTCCCTCGCGCCGCCCTCTCTCAGGCCTTGGTGAAGGGACCCTTTGCGCCTGGCCCCATTATCGCCCTCACTTTCCTCATCTCACCAGCTCCTCCGTCCCCTGTGTCAGCGGAGACTGAAGACTTCACTGTGCCCTCCCAGAATCCCTCCTGTGAGGATCCAGTCGATCTATTCGGGTGGAAAGTCTCTCTGAACTTAAGTCGTAAATCCAGCCATGTACCCAACAGCGAAGTTACAGTACCACGTTAATTTAACCTTCAGCCCCAAGGGCGTTTTTTTTTTTTCCTCTCCTAGATACAACTTTTAGAGTTTTCTGAGAACTGTATTGCATTAGATTATCTTTGAGATAATTCTTAAGTTAGCGCCTTGAGGGAGTGTGACTGGAGGTTCAAAGAGGCTTTACACTTTTTCCTTCACCTGTATCACAGTTTGAAATGGAAAACGTGAGTTGATGGTGATTTTCCACATGAGGTGGGTTTCAGAATGCAGCCCCCGTGTGCCGTGGCATGCCTTGGTTATTTGGTGTTACCCCTGAAGTTGATTTTAAAGCTCAACATAGTGGTCAGTAAAGGAGCTGCTGAAAAGTCCAGTATAATTCAATAGAGCCGTTTTATTAGACTCTATTAACCTGTTTAACCTTAAGCGAAAGCATGGCAGGAGTTTCATGTAGGAACCCACATACCAAGTTCAGTATTGAATTTTAATTATTGCGTTCCAGATCTGAAGTGCAATAGATTCTCCTCAGCTCCCACTCCTTATTATTTTATATTCTCCGTAGGATTTTACATTTAATGAAACAGTTTTAGTATTGAAGGTTGGAGGAGTACCTTTTGAATTATGAAACTTTCTTTGACAGACTTGAAAACCGAATAGGTAAAATGTGAACCATACTGAGATAAGGGTGGGAAACAGTGAATTTTATAGCTTTACCAATTTGAGAAGTTAAGATGGCTTCTTTTCTCCCGTTTTGAAACCGTTTTTGACATTTTAATCTTATAGACCACAGAAGTACAGAATTTTCTATTTGTAAGAGACCTTGTCAGTTTAATGCAACCCTGTTATTTCGCAGAGTGAAATTAATCAAAGAAGTTTCTTGAAGAGATTTAACAGAAGCTGAATAGAAGTAGTAGACTTAATTAGCTAAATACTTAAGTAGATAATTCAAATCTTCCCAGTGGATATTCTTGTACCAAAATTTGTTTTGATTTTGGTATCTTAAAAGAAGCCAAGTAATTACTAAATTTCCACTTTTTCCTGTTTTGAGTAATTGCTTTAATTCGCGATTTGGACACATCAGAAGTAAATGATACAAATTATTTATAGTTAAGAACTGTTTACATTTTATCAGTTGAAACAGTATTTTCCATTTTGTTTGAATTTAGTAACTATTTTCATTTCAAGAATGTTTACCTGTATTCTTAATGCTGATAGTCTGTGTCATCCTAGGAGATTGGCATTTCAAGAGTCTTACTGTGGTGCATATAACCTTGGTATTAGAAGCAAAGGCCCTATACACATGTGATAACCGAATTCCTGCATTCCCAGCATCACTTTTCTTAGTGTTCCTCAAATGCAGAAGTCCTTTGCATCTCCTATACCATAGTTTTTAAGTATAGGCATTTAGTAAATACTTTTTGTGTACACTTTCCCTTGTGAGAGATTAATGAAAGATGGACCGTGTTTTATCTGTGTATGCCTTGTGTCAAGTGTAGTGGCTGCTCTGTAAATGCTTGTGGTCTTGGGCTTAATCAAAGTTAAGGAGGTAGCAGAGTGGCCAGAAAGTCATGAATCGTGATATTGTAAACTTGAAATTATTATTATTATTATTTTTTTGGTGAATCAGATACTCAGGCTGAATTTCATATTGAAAAGTAGTAGATATCAGATATTTTAGAAAAATTGAGGGAAGAAATTTAACATTGAGAATTTTGTTCTTTTAACATATATTGCTGTGAAATTGTGAAAAGACATCATTATTTAAATCTTTTGATAGAACACCTCAGTCAAGCTAAAATACTTTGAATTTTCCACTGGAGCAAAGTTTGACCATCATGAATTAAATGATCCTAATTGTTACCGTAGGTCCATTTTAAAGCTTTGGTTTCACTTTATAAGGATATATTTTTTAGCATATAGGTCTTTGTAAGAAACATGACTGGGAGTTCAGACTGCCCTGGAAGCTACCCAGAAATGATATTTTAAACAGTTTTAGGCTATATTTGATATGTCATACTTCATGGTGATACTGTAAAAAAAAAAACACGTTATATTTGCTTTTTCTATGTCTTTTCTCTTTAATAGATCAGACTAGCATGTTTTGATTATTTAAAAAAAAATTAGCTGAGGAAAATTGTCAAGCGTTTCTTTTGGAAAGTACCACTACTCCACTCTGAATGAATAGCCTTGGCAGATAATATTTGGACAAATGCAGGGCCAGTTTCATAGAGTGATTCCTATTTGAATATGTACAGTCATATAAATAATAGCCTTCACAAGGACAGCATCTTTGGACTACATGCATTTTTATTTCTACTTGTACTGTTGCTGAAAACAATTGTACAGTAGAGTAGGGTGACATTTATAGGGAGCAAATAATTTTACATCTGTTATTGCTGGTTTTTACGTCAGTCCTGGTCTACCTGGCCTATCCGCTGCCAGTGTTGTTTCTCCCACCCAGTTCTTAAATGGATTTTTAAGACTGAAAATACATTAAAACCCTCATTCCCTTCAGGAATTGGGATCTGGAATTAATTCTGGTGCTCTGAGCTTTCATTGCTTACAGAGCTATGGTGTCTCACTGACCTTTGACATCTATGCAGTTTGACTCCGAGATTATGAGATTCTCGTTTTTAAAAACACTTTACTCATTGGGAGTTTTGAGCTATATGGCATAAAGATCTTAATGAAATGTGTGTGAAGCATCTAGAATATGTCAATATAGGTTTAGATGGAATTAGGATACAGAATCAGACAACTAGTAAGAAATATTAAGAATATATCGTCCTCTTCTCCCACACTTGAAGGTCACACTTGTCATTTAAACAGACAGCTTTTTTTTTGGAATATTTATTTTTAAAAGTAACCAGATAAGCAATTACATAAGTCCATGTAATATGTTTCTTGTCTGGATTCTTTTCGTATTCCATATCCCTTGTGGACCTCCACTCTTGTCTTAAGTCAATTTAAGAACTCTTAACAGTTTAGCTATCTCTGTTTCCTCGCCATCCCTTCTCCCCTCAGGGAGTAGGTACCTGTTCTTGTCCACAGTGGATTTTGGAGTCCTACTTCAACCAGGGCAGAACTCGTAGAGCCAAGATACTGTTATACTGCCTTCTGGACTCACTCACTGGGTTGATCCCTTGGATACTAAAGACAGGCCAGCTGAGAGCTAGGCTCTTTGGTTATTATAATTTGAGCCCTTTTTGAGCCCAACTTTTCGTTTGCAACAGGAACTTTAGGACGCCCAGGATTCATCCATTCATTACTCTCATCTCTTTCCTAACTTACTTTGCTGTTGAGTTCTCTGCCTTCTTAGCTTAGTCACTTAGTGGGTGATTTTCATTCAATTTCAATGGTAGCTAATTATTTTCAAGTGTTTTTCTACCCATGTCTTATCCTTTTTGAGCTTTCATTTGACTTATAACATTCAAAAGTATAACATTTACATAAATATATAAAGTATAACACTTCATCTGTTATACTTTCCCATAACATGTTCATTATCTATCTTTTCTTTTAGTCTGTGTACCCCTGTGTATGGGAATGTTGGAACCAAATCTGTGCTGTTTGTGGTAGTGTCCTCTACACTCAGTACAGTGCTTGGCACATAGCAGGTGATAAATATATATTGATTAGATATAAATTCATCCTAACGATAAGTCTTTTACCTGTATGGGAAATCAGTGTTCATATAGAAATTTAGAATTCATACAAGAGGTTTATACATTTCATTGCCATGATTAGTACTACAGAGTCTATGTATTTTAAATTATAAGCATGTCCATAAAAAAAAAAAATAACTTCATCAGTCATCTGGCAGGGAATTTGAGAAAGAAAAAGTATGTAATTTTCACCATGTATTGTTAAGAGTTGCACATTTCAATTTTTCTTGAGTTTGATTAATATATATTATTTTATATTTCTTACACAGAAGTTTTATGACACTATAAAGAAGTGAGTTTAATAGCCTATTTTTGTTCATTAGTAATTATATAACTAAAGAGTAAATTCTCATTAAAAGGCCCTTAAATGCCTGCTCATAAAAAAGAGAGACCTCTTTGGTTTTGTTCTCCGTACAATCCCAGTTATTGTATTGAGGCAAGTCATCAAACTCTTTAGTAGTCTAAACCTTTAATTTGGTTTCAGAACAGTAGTCATGTATTGAATACCCAAATTACCATGTCTTCAACAAGTAATGCAAACACTCTGTATTAAAAAGGTAATGACTATAACTTCTTGTAGAATTTCCTGTGCTAATTTTTTAAAGAGGATTTTTGAACTAAATTTCCCATGAAGGCCAAAATCTCGTACTTTTAATGATAGTGCAGTATGTATGTATGTGTGGAGGAGGGGGTGGTAATTTTTGTAGTGGTATTTTTAAGTGGACACTTTACTAATTATGTTGAGGTAAATAAACACTTTACAACTCTAAAAGGAAAACTTCAATTATCTGAATTAAATGAGGTACATGAAATTAATTCAGATAAGTGGGGGAATCCTTAGGATAAATGATGCATGTTGAGGGACATGACCTCAGTCTTGATTTTTTTTCTCTATATATCTGTCAGCTGTTTTCATATTACTAGATTGATTCTTTTTGGTCATGCTAGGAATCATTGATGGGAGGAAGTAAAGTTTGCTCATTGGTTTTGTCATCGTCGTTGTTTTCCTTTGCCATAGAGGGAGTCCAGAATGTGGTATTCTGTGACAAGTATAATTGCACATCTCTCACTTGTACTGCCTGCCCTTTTAGGTGGTACACCACAGCCTTCCATTTTGTCACCTTCCTGTCAGATGTGTGTGAGGACTCCTTGAGAATACAATTTGTTTGAAATTAAAGCCACACTCCTCTCAAGATGTTTACACTTCCTAAAAGTCGAGTTACAACAAGTTATAAGTGTGAATGGAGCTATATAAACTTTGATTCCTTTCCTGATCCCCTTGGAGTTTAATATTAAGCAGTGTCTTGCAAGGTAGGTCCTTAAAATAGAAACATATTGGGACATAACTTATCCCTGACCTTCACAGATCCTAACTTGAAATGAAAATTTTGCTGATCGATTATAGAGTTTAGGAAGGTTTTAGGAAAATGATTTCTGCTGCCGTTTACTAAGGTTCGCAGCATCCCTGGGCTTCTGGCATCTGAAAACTATTGTGTAATCTGTAGCTAGCCTGTGTAACTGTCATGACAGATTCCTCTAGGTTTTTTTTGTTTTGTTTTGTTTTGTTTATCTCAGCCCCAGAGATGTATGCTGACACCTAAGAAAATTTTACTTTTATCAACATTACCTATAGTTGCTTTACCTTAAAGCACCTGAGAGCATAACTTCTTATTTGCAGCATGAACCACCTTCCTTTTCACGCCTTGGTCTTTGAGATACAAGATGGTTCATGTCTTGATTGCCTTAGGCGGAGTGGATGTATTATCAGCAAACTCTGTAGCCAGACCTGAGCAATTCCTAGGCCATTGTCTGAGACCTTCTTAAATATATGCAGGCTGTGTGGTTGAAGAGTTTAGGCTTCAGGGTCAGTTCAAATGATTTTGACTCTGGTATTTATGAACAGCTTGTCTTTGGGAGACATTAGTTACTTCTCTGGGTTTTAGTTTCTCATCTGTAATGCTGGGATATCCCCTGGATGTATTGAGTGTTTTTTAAAAGTAATCTTATCTACATTGATAGGTTGTTATATGCAGATAAGTGTTTAATAAGATGAATTAATGAACAATTACCTAGAGTATAGACTATAAAAGGAAGTAGGTTTTACGCCATTTGATGACAGATAATCAAATTAGTGAAAATCTTTTCTAAATAGGGGTCTTGCTCAGATGACATTAAAACTATTTAAGACTTGTAGCCATCAGTCTATATACAAAGGATATACTGATGTGTGATATAGAGAGGCAGAATATGCAGTATATTCGTTGGAGTAAAACGGAGTTGGATTAGTATATAGATGACCCAACAGTTGGGTCACCTTGGGCAGGGTACTTAACTTTTTAATTCAATGTTTTCATCTGTAAAATGGGTAATAAAAGTGTAAAAAATAATAAAGGGCAAAAATGATAAAAAGTTTGTTGAAAAGACTTCAGAGATGAGGTATGCAAAATACTTATTAATAACTGAGTCCATAAATATTGATATTTGTTATTGTGACCTTGAACAAGTGACTTCCCTTCACTTCAGGTTTTCTTATCTGTGGCATGACTATATCAGAATGAATAGAGTTATGAGGATTAAATGAGATAATACATGTAAGTGCTCATTAAATGTTAATTGCTACTATTGTTTGCATTATTAATTCAGTTGAGAACAAATTGGATCAATTTGATTTAAAATAAAAGATTTTGTACAGCTATTTAATGTATTTATGTTGGGGATATTTAGTATGACTTTGGGTATTGCAACTTGTCATTCATAGCTTTCAGTGTTTCCTTAAGACAACAGCTCTTAAATTGTGTACAGACCTGTAGGGGTTACTGAAACTCTTTTCAGAGGGTCCATGTGGTTAAAACTATTTTCATTGTAATATTAACTTTTTGCCTTTTCCACAGCTTTGACATTTGCTCTGATGACAGTAAAGCATTGGTGGTTATTTTAATGGATAGTAAATAGCATTGGCACCAAACGGACTAGTATTCATCATATTCTTTACTGCCATGCATTCATAGTTAAAAAAACAAAACAAAACTAATTTTCCTTAAGAATGTCCTTGATGAAGAAGTAAAAATTATTAATTTTGTTAAATCTTTATTCTTGAGCATACTTCATTTTAATATTCTGTGTGATGAGACAGGAAATACACAAAAAGCACTTCTGCTGCATATCCAGAGTACATTGGTTATCTCAAGGAAAACTCAGTGATTTTTTTTTTTGCGTTCCTAGCTGAACTAACCACATTTTGCATGAAATATCATTTTTACTTGAAAGAATAACTACCAGACAAATTGTGATTATTTAGATTTAGATGTTTGGGAGTCATTTTCTTCAAAATGAACAAAGTGAGCTTGCCACTTATGGGAAAATAACTGACAATATTTGTTGCCAGTGATAAAATTTGAGCTCTCAAGTAAAAATTAAAATTTTAGTTAACTTGTGTTACCTGCTGTGCTCTTGTCAGCTTCCCAATACATAAAGATTTTTCTGATGGAATGGATAGTGTTATTAATGAATGCGAGTTTTTGCTATGGTATTAATTAATAAATTAATTATATCAAGTTTTTTATATCTTCATAACTCAATAAACCAATACTTTCAAAGTGATCAGTATTCTAAAATTATGGGTAAAAGACCGTTATAAAAAGCAAGTAACAATACATAATGTTTATGTGTTTTTAGATTCCATATTATAGTTCTTAAACTACTTGTCAAGTGTTGGTGTATTATCAAAGAACATCTACAGTTATCTAAAAAGGCTATTAATATACTTCCTTTTTTCTCACTACATATTTGTGTGGGGCTACTTTTTTTTCATATGATTCAGTCAAAATAATGTATCACAACAGATTGAATATGGAAGCAAATAAGAAAATCCAATTGTCTTCTATTAAGCTAGGCATGAAAGAAATTTGCAGAAGTTCTAAAACAGTATTTTTATCACTAAGCTTTTTTTTGTTTAGGAAAATTTTCACAAAATATTAAATATGTTATTAAAAATTTTAATGAATTATTAAATAATTAAACTCATTTAATTTTTAACATGGTAAATATTGATAATTATAACTCATATTAACAAAAGCTCTTGGGAGTCCTCAATTTTTGAGAACACAAAAGAGTTCTGATACTAAAATACTTGAGAACTCTTTAAGGGAAGGAGGCTAGATTCATCTAATGAGTGAAGTTCTGAGGTTTATGAGTATTCCTGTGGAATATGGACTACATGCCTGTAGTTTCTTTTCCTGGTTGTAAGGTCATATCACTGGGCTTCCATGTCATTACCCAAATGGACAGAGGGTTTCCTGTGTTTTCAAAAAGATTTTTATTTTTATTTAAGTTGATGCTACCAGAATGGTTGCTATCCAGAATTGAGATATGGTTAATGGTCATCCCAGTCACTGTATTCATTCTTGATACACTTTTTTGGTTATGAGCTATTCATGCAATTTTCAGAGTTCACCATGGCAAGTTACTTCAAGATTGTAGTGAAGTTCACTTTGCTGAAAATAAACTGCCATTTTCTCTGAAGCCTTTACACTTGGCTTAATTGTCTACTGTAAAGTCTTCCTAATATTTCATAGTTATTTTCTAGACAGTCTGTTCACAGCTTATGAATGTGTTTGTGAATTAGTTATTTGCAACAACATAAAATGAATTACAGATGGGTTTTTTAGTGCCATTAATAGTATGGGCATAGTCTCATTGTGGACTGTTAGCATCGTCCTGTGGGGAATTATATTTTGACTCCTGGAAATCTAGCCAAATATGTTTCTCCATTGCAGTCCAACAATGACAAGAAACTCCTCTTCCCCGCTACAGTAGAAATAGGAGTGTTAAAACTTTAATGGAAGCAAGAGATACCTCATTCTGAAGCCATGCTCCAGAGACACGGGTGTCTTAGGCACCCCGAGTAGGTAGAGGGTGGTGGGCAACACTCTAAGATAAAGCAGGTATAGAAACGTTGGGCTAACTAGCAATGGTTGAGGGAAAAAAGGAGAAGGAATGCAGCTTGAGGATGATATATTCCCTTTTAGGGCAGTTGGTAAAAAGTAAGCGATGTCTTAAGATGGGTAGTCCTGGGTTGGAAAATCCATCTGTATACAGTTTTGTTGTGCTCTTACATTTGGTTATTGTATGAACTGAGCTCCAGAAACAGAATGACAGGCCAGTTGGGAAGATTGACCTCATAGATTTATAGGTCAGAGGTTTTAATGTAAAAGGAAATTGATCAACTCCAGGGACAGTCATGATCAGAAAGAGGAGTGGAAGCCAGGAGAGTGTTGGAGTATGCAAGCTATTCACAAGGGTCCCAAACAAATTCATATTACAGGGTGGCTGTTACCTGGTGATTAGCTGGCACAGTTCAGTCCAGGATTGCTGTGATTCAGCCCACTGTCCCGGGGTCTCTGGCAGGATATATAGATTTTTAATACTGGTATCCAGTACAGGAAGCCTATTATGGAAAAGGGTTGATATAAAGCAGAAATCCAGAACTAGGATAACTTGGAGACACAGAAGAGATCAATGTGGGAGAATCAGAATTTGACCTGAAGCTGAGCCCCTTGTCGTCTTTCTGCCCAAGGGCAATTTTGGCCCCTTGGATTGAGGCAAGGCTGAGCTATGGTAGAAGGTAAAGTTACTATAGCTGTATGCACTGGAGTGGTGGCCTACCCAGGAAAACCAACCATGTGTTGCTTAATGATGGGGATACATTCTGAGAAATGAGCTGTTACGTATCAAAATTACATAACAGCTCATTTCTAGGTATAGTAGGCTATACCATTTAGGTATATAGTATAACCTATTGCTATATAGTATAACCTATTGCTCCTAGGCTAGAAGCCTGTACAGCATGTTACTGTGCAGAATACTGCAGGCAATTCTAACACAGTGGTATTTGTGTCTAAGCATATCTAAACATAGAAAAGATACAGTAAAAATATGGTATAAAAGGTAAAAGATGTATACCTCTATACCTCCATTCACTTGCTGTGAATGGAGCTATTAGAACTCAAAGTTACTCTGGCTGGGTCAGTGAGTGAGTGAGTGAATGTGAAGATCCAGGACATTACACTACTGTAGACTCGATAAACACTGTACACTTAGGCCCTACTAAACTTATTAAAAATATTTTTCTTCAATAACAAGCTTACTGTAACTATTTAATCTTTAAGATTTTTAACTTTTTTACTCTTATAATAGTACTTAGCTTAAAACACAAACACATTGTAATCTATATAAAAATATTGTCTATATCTTTATTCTGTAAGCTTTTTTGTTATTTAAAAATGTTTTTATTTTAATTTTTTACTTTTTAAACATTTTTGTTAAAAACTAAAAGACACACATTAGCCTAGGCCTACACAAGGTCAAGATTACTGTTACTTTCTTCCACCTCCACATCTTGTCCCACTGGAAGATCTTCAGAGCAATGACACATGTACCTGTCATTTCCTATGATAATATTGCCCTTTTCTGAAATACCTCCTGAAAGATCTGTCTGAAGCTCTTCTTGAGGAGGTGTCCCTCTTTTCAGAAGTATGTCCATGTGGGTTTGCTTGGTTTATTTCTTTTTTTTCCATAGTAGATTTGCTCCTAAGTAGATAATGCACCATGAACATTCCTCTCTATCAAAAGTGAAAACCTTTTGGTGTTGGGGTCCACCATGTTTTCAGACTTTTTAAGGAGTTCTTGAGGTTTGCAAAAGCTTCTGCTAACCGCTTCACTGAATCTTCTTGGGTTTTATTCTTATGGACCACTGTTGTGTGTGAGGTCTCTTTGGCCAAAATGTCATTATGTAGCCCCTGACTATTAAACTAATGGAAGTAAGGCAGGGAACAACTAGGTCACTGTACTCAGGTTCTTCGTGTAAGAGGCACTAAGAATCCTATTACTTACCCACTAAATGTCCTCTGGGCCAGGGGTCAGCAAACTTCTTTAAAGCACCAGATAGTAAGTATTTTGGCCTTTATGTGTCAGATGGTCTCTGCTGTACCTACTTAAATCTGCCCTTATAGCATGAAAGTAGCCATAGAAAAATACATAAATGAATGAGTAGCTGTGTTCCAATAAAACCTTATTTATGGAGATTCAAATTTTGTGTAATTTTTGCATGTCACAGATTATTAGCATTTTAAAAAAACTTTCCAACCATTAAAAATATATAGTTCATTCTTAGATCATGACTGTGCAAGAACAGGCAGTGGGCTGCATTTGGCCCACAGGATCTAGTTTGCTGACTCCTGTTTTACATAAGTAAATGACTTTCAGTTATACAGAAAGCTTAGCATAAGTGAAATAGATGTTCTTCAGGACAATACTGTTGGTGACACTGTCTTGTTTTATAGGTGACAAAGATGATAAAAAAATCCATTCAAGAATTTAGATGTGACATCTGCAGCAGGTTCAGATCTCAGCTATAAGACAAACTGGATACTTCGTAAAGATTTTCGTCTTATGCACAGAGAGCCAAAATCCGTTAACTGAAATTTTCTGGGTGAGCTGCCTGCTGGGTCCAATGATGCAGTAGTAGACAAAGAAGTTGAAAAAGAAGGCTCGTGTATTCTTTTGATGACTGGCAGAGTGTGACACCAGTATGCCATCAAGCCCTGCTATGAACCCAAGGACATTATCACTAAATAAAAATGACTTTTTGGTGTGGTGTGAGGGTGGTTGAAGTAAATTTGATCTTTATTTGGGGAATGAATAATATTTTATTCCATAATATATAGTAATTGTTTTGTTAATCAATCTTTTAAGTTCTTGTCCATTTATGGAACTTATATAGTTATCACCTTTTATCATTGGGTTCTATTCCTCTAAGGGAAATACTGTAAAGAAAAAAGTCTACTTAACCTAAAAAAGTTAACTTAAAAAGGTTAATTTAAGGACTATAACTTTCGCATATGTAATTTTACTTAGGAGATTCTTGAAATTTTGCTCTCTCCTTAAGCATTTGTCCCCAATCTTTTTGGCACCAGGGACTGGTGCTGCTATGAGAATCTAATTCCTGATGATCTGAAGTGGAGCTGAGGCAGTGATGCTAGCGGTGGGGAGCGGCTGCAAATACATACGAAGCTTAGCTTGCGGGCCCACCACTCACCTCCTGTTCTGTGGCCCTTTGCCGAACAGGCCATGGACCGATACTGGTCCACAGCCAGGGGTTGGGGACCTGTGCCCTAGAGTATTTAAAATGTTTCTATTTATAAAAAGCTATTGCATCCAGAGTTTTCTAGGAAAACATCCTTTTGTGTAGGCTCTTGAAGTCAGTAGTATACTATACAGTATTAATGTGCATGGAACAGTTAATAAATTAATGACTTAATTAAAAATAACTAATAAATATATTCAGATCTGTTAACTAAATTTACTTAAATTTGAAAATTTACTTAAATTTAAAAATGAGTTAAGAAGCAGATATGAACTGGAAATAAACCTATGAAAACTGAAACATCAAAATATTTTCTGAACCAAATGAACATTTTATTTGGTTAGAGTTCCCACTTTTGGCCTGTATCCGTTTAAATCAGTAATAGAAGATTTGAAAGCAGTGCTGGGAGGTGGGTAGATTCTCTCAAAGTTAAATTACATTTCTTCTTCAGTGAATCTTTAACTTACTTTTTTTCATCTTAGCATTCAACAAATACTCTGGCAGCCCAGGATATAAAACATAGATTACATTTTATATAGTTCATATAGCTCATGTAAAAACAAAAAAAGATTTCCTCATAACTTACCTTGAAATCTGTATTCAAGGCCTCTACCATTCAGTGTATCAGTGTGCCCCTGCCGTTGCTGCACATTTTTGGTCATAGTGCAATGCAACTAGCATAGCCCTTCTGCTAGGAAAAAGATCTGCAGGTTTTTGAAGAGTGGAAGTTACACACATCTAATTTACAAGTCAGATTAGAGATCAGAATCGTGCGATAGCTTTATGTGGAATTGATTTCATTTCATGGTTTTTAAGCTATTTTTTCATTGAAGCAGTGCCTATAGCTGAAAGACAGGTGTGTTGTAGCATTTGAATGCCTGAAACTCTTTTGAATCTGGAATGAAAGGGGGATGTTCTTAGATGTTTAGATCCTAAGACTCAGGGATTTTGAAATGAAATACTCTCATTCATCTTTTGTGCCATAATTGAACTGCCCTATGGATTTTATTTGGGACTATTGTGATTAATATTTAGAAAACTTCACCATTTTCAAACATAAGATACTTAAGGAAAGACTGATTTTTTTTGTATGTATGTTTGTGTGTTTAAAGCAGGAAGCACCATTTTATCTTATAACTAATATATATTTAATAACATATATATGGATTTAACATCGATAGTATTAAATCAGCAATTCCATTGTGGTCTTCTGGGCAGAGAACATTAAATAGAGCACTTTGTGGATTGCCATTATTATGTTTTTCCCTAAAGTAAACCTTTTTCAAAATATAATGTATAGAAGAATGATAAATACAGCTTGATAGGTTATAGTTATTATTTTACCCGTTCTTATTAAGCTTGAGAAGACATCTCATAAAAGTGAGTAAAACTAGTTTATTGCAGAAAAAAGTGCTATATATTGGAATTTGAGAATGTAGTTGCAGAAGAGCATGTTAAATTTTTAGTTGGTTCTTGTGCCAGCAATTGATTTGAGTATAATCAGGAGAAGAATAAAATCCAGGTGTTTAAAACTAGTTTTGTATCAGTAGTCAAAAGACTATTTAGTTTAATCTGCCTCCCCACCCCTTTCACCTGGTGAGTTTTCATAAATTGATTCCTGAGATAACAAAATATTGGAATTTAGAGAGTTGAGGATTCATCAGTTACATCTTTTTGTCCATTGACTGACATAGGACTTGTTTAGTTACTGTATTTATAGGACATGAGAAAGGTAGTGATCCTGACTTTCATGGACTTCAAAAAAGACTTTTGAAAGAGGATTAAGGTAAGGATGTAGTAGGCATACATTACTGTGTTTATTTTAGTAGAGCAGTGACTGTTCAGGTGGTTTCTTCCCCCACTGCCTTTCTCCCTAACTTTGTAACCAATGGTTAAAGCTGCTTTTCCTTAAGGTGAGTGGGAGGTAATTTTGTGAATGGAGAAAGTGAAGCTATTTTAGACATTGGGAAATTAGTGGAATTTAAAAGGGAGAATAAGATTTTAAATGTGATAGATAATAGATGACCACTTTTTTTGGATTGATAAGGGTGCTAGAGTAAGACTATCAGTGGAATAATGGTTTATTATTACCACATACTATTGAAACCCGCCTATGTACTAGACATTGAGTAAGATACCTTGCATAAGTTATTTCTAATTCTTTGCACAACCTTGAAAGCAGGTACAATTATCCCAACTTTTAATGAGGAAAGTAGAAGCTAAGTGGTATACCCAAGGTCTTGAGTAAGAAGTGAAGATAGAGTCTTACAGTTGTAGCTCATTTTGTGCAGGGACCTTTTCTTTCCAGTGATTGTCTGATAAATGAATAAATAAAAAGTAATTCGAACAGCCAGTACACATTATGGGAAAATTTTAAGACTAATGGTTTTTAACATAAATGACTTCATGTTCATTTTACAGAAGGATGTTTGGGCCTCCTTGGAGAAAGCAATGAGGTGATATATTGGACAATATTGTTATCTAGACTCTGCAACTCTTCCAACTGTCTTATTTGTTGCCTTTGATATAGTTAGTATAGTATTGTATAGCTGTATTTTCAGATGTAAGTGATGCCATGATACAAAATCCATATATGAAGGGTAGGTGATAAAAAGCTACCACAGTGACTTAGATACAGTAGATCATAAGCTGAATTAGGTCAACTCCAAATAACATATGTAGAAACAGTTCTTGAAAGCAGTCTGATACAGTCAAAGGTAACTACCAGTTTGGTTCAGAAATGATAACAGTAGATAACAGTGTTATGAAGCCCATTAAAATGAGAACGAAATGTTTACAGGCGTTTACAAGTAGAGGTATGAAGCCCTGAACAAACCATTATCTCCTTGGAAAGGACACATTTAGTCATTTGGATAGGAACGGTGCCTTAGCAGCAGCATTTTTAAATGTAAAAAATATAACTGTGCAATAAGGCTTTGGAGTCAAATGATCCAATATGTTTTTTTAAGGTATAGAGTGAAATGATAAGGGATCTTTGGCTTTATCGTTCACTGGTCCCATGGAGGAGTGAAATAATAAAAAAAACCCAAAGTGGCAGCATGGTAAAGTAGCTTAAATGTGAGTACTCTGGCATCTGAGGGATGTTGTAATGAAGATAGGAAAAAAAATTGGAATTGTTGAACTCAAAGTGTTAGAATTGAAAATGCATTTTTTAATTGCTTGAAAATATACAAAAAAATTAGCAAACAGGTCATAGGCAAACAAGGCAGTTGGACAAAAAGAAATGAGGGTTATTCAAGAGTGAAGTGGTTGTATGATATTTCTAGATAGAGTTTTTAGCTAAAAAGAGAAAACTAAGGTAGAGAGATCAGGAAAAGTGATTTAGAAATAGGTATTATTGATACAGGGTAGTATGCTCCTCAAAAGTTGCTAGTAGGTGGAGTAAATATTGGATAAGTCGGGGAAAAGTATCTTTAACATGAAGTCATATTCATATTTTATGATAGTCAAAAGTGACCACCTGCTTTAGATCATGACCTCCCAAGAAAAGATATGTTGATTACTCCTATTCATTCTTTGAGCCTTTATGGATGTTGCTATAGACTAAAATTATCCTTGTTTCCTTGTGACTTTGGGTAAACACTTTGGACTTGGATTTGTGTTTCAGAATCTGATTTAGTTTATAAGTTTATTATGATTACCAATATACATATTGGTAACCAGCTTTTGGAAGGAGATTACATTTTACATTAACTGATTATCCTTGACATCTTCCGGAAGTAAGATATCAGATGCGATTTAAATCAGTTTCGTTGGTTGTAATTTATATATAAAAATCCATTTTTAAATAAACAGTTAATGAATTTTGATATGTGTGTCGATTCATGTAACTACCTCTCATTCAAGAAATAGAATAGTTTAACACCCCCCCAAAATTCTCTTATGGCTCTTACCAATCAGTCCTCCTCTCTCTTCCCCGTAGACAACCACTGTTCTGATTTCTCTTACTATAGATGAAGTAAACTTTTCCTTGAACTTTATATACATGGAATCATAGAGTATATACTGTTTTGTACCTTGCTGCTTTTCCTCAGTATAGTTATTCTGAGATTTATCCATGTTGTGTGTAACAGTGGTTCATTCTCTTTCGCTGCTGAGTAGTGATCTGTTTTACCACCATTTGTTTATCCATTATTCTGTTACTGGACATTTGATTTTCTTTTCCTGGTTTTTGGCAATTGTGAATAAAGCTGCTATAAACATAATTTTTGTGTATCTTTTTGTGTACATATGATTTAATTTCTCTGAGTTAAATACCTAAGAATGGAATTGTTCTGTCAGGATTGGTGTGTGTTTTAACTTTAGAAGTTTATGTTTATATGTATAATTTTTCCAATGTGGTTAAACCATCCCCACTATGCATTTTTAGTTCAAGTCTGTAAATCTCTACAGTTTGTTCTAGGTATAGATATTGATGCATACTACAAGATTTTTCTATAGACAGAGCTTTTATGAGTATTCTTCATGTAATAACTGAAATCTAATAAATAGTATTATGAGACATCTATTTTTTAAAAAATCTTAACACTTTAATCTACAGCCATGCCACCCTGACCGTGCCCGATCTCGTCTGATTTCGGAAGCTAAGCAAGGTTGGTTGGGTCTGGTTAGTACTTGGATGGGAGACCACCTAGGAAGACCAGGTGCTGTAGGTGTTAAACAAACAAACAAATAAATAATCATAACACTTTATAGTATATAACTTGACTTAAAAAGATACAGGTTTCCCCTGCTATCCAAAAGTATAGCGTTTCTATGAAACCTTTCGTAGGCCGGAATGGAGTAAAGTGAAGAAACAGTTACCATTAATTTAAAAGCAAAAATCCTCTTTAGATTTCTTTTGGTTAGTGAAAACAGGTGTTGATATAGGTATTTTGTAAAAGTGAAGTGGCATAGGCAAGCTTTCAAAAAGTGGGGATACCTGTATGCAATTATTGACTTGGTTTGTTGTACAGAATTTTATTTTTCATTTTTTGTTGGTATCATTTTAAATCTGAATTTCAAAGTGGGAATTCTCCATTTATGCTGTGGCTCTTCATTAAATATGTGTATAACTAAATGAGTTGTTTGAATATGAATAATATACTGATCTACTAAGGTAAAATTTGACCAGATGATAAGCAGTAGCTATAACAGGGGAATTCCACCTAAGATAATGTGTTGACAACTAGCACTTGTTTCAAGATTTTAGCTGAAGTTCCAAAGCTGAAAATAAGGGTCAGTAAGTATCCTTGCATTCTAAAGAGGGATGTGGGGCTTAGTAAAAGAACTGTAGCACCCACTTCCCGTATGTAAGAGAAATTGGAAAAGGGGTAATACAGGTTTTATTCAGGTGAAGAATTGTTAATCTAGTGGGTAGTTATGTGACATTTCAGTTTTTTCCCAGAAGGACCTTTTGTTCTCAACTCAGAATTTGGGTATGTCTTGCAGAAGTGTAGATTGGTATTTATAATTTCTTGTCTGGTTGTTTAATGAGCTGCACATAATCTTGTTTCTTGATAATGCAATCACACTTCCCAGAGAGTTTCTGAGAGAGCATATTTTTTCTAGAGTTTGGAGCATTCCTGAACATAGACTCATTTTTGGAGCAGAAAAGAGTGTCTGGAACCAGTGAGGTGCCATGTTGAGAGAGGGCAGTAGTGCAAAGAGTTGACATTTGTCAATCTGGTGTGATAAGAAGACATTAATTTTGTTTCGTGGCCCAAGTAGACCCTACGAGAACTAACCAGGTTTGAGTTATTTTGATGGATCCAGCCAAGGAGGGCTGCTTGTCATATGAGGGGACTGTGGGTGGGATAGTGAGGCCAGTCTGAGAATGAATCCCCCACACCAGGGAACTATGCAGGGTAAAGGAACCAGCCTCTTTGCTTGCTGTAATTTAAGGCCACCCTGCCTCGAAGACCTGTATTGTACTGTCCAAACTGGGCTTTTTTGAGAATGAGAGAAGTGCTGTCAATAATTACATAAGGATAACAGATCATCCTGCTACCAATCCATCTAGTAAAACCACATGGAACTAGGCACACAGAACATTCGTCCCTCTTCCTCTGCCTAACCTGATCTGCAGGAACCAGAAAATGAGGAAGGAAGTGGAGAAAAGTGAAAGAGCCACGAAGAATATTGAAAAACAGATTATTATTTCTTTTGGTTGACCCTGGTTGGGGGGTGGCGGTGCAGTGATATTCTTTGAATAAGATATGAAATCGAAGGGTTAAACTGGACTAGACTATATTTTACAATACTTGAAAGTGACTGAGAAGCAATAGGATTTTTCTGGGATGTTATGGAGAGATGGGGAAGTGAGATCCAGAAGATTATGTTTGAAGTGATGAAATGTATCCCACTGAATTCAGTGTATTTGATTATTAGTTTAATAGAATTTAGTTGAACAAGCCTTTAGTTTATACCTATAATCTGATATGTAAGGTACTATGTTAAGTATTTTAGGGAAGGCAAAGATGACTAAGATTTTCTGTCCTCGAGGAGCTTCTGTTTTAGGGTAAATAGCCAACCTTAATCCATGGCATAATGACATAGGTTCCCTAGACATGCAAGTAGCAATGCTGTGGAAATGTGGAGAGAAATACCACAGGCATTCATGGCACGCTTTGTGGAGCATGCTGAGTTTGGGCTGAGCCTTGAAGGAAGAGAAGGAGATCAGCTGGGAAGAAAGGCATTCTAGCATGAGGGAATAATCAAAGGCATAGAATTGAGAATGGGTAGACTGGGAAGAAATAATGCTCACTCACACTGAAAAAAACTTTTTTTTAGAATGGTTTCAGCCACAAGTTAAGCATGCTTGCTCATGTTAGAATTCTGGTTGAAGTTTGGTATTTTTACATGTCATTTTTGCATTTCTTTAGTTATGTACAAAGTGTCTTCCTCCATGAAATATAGTGTGGAAATGTTATTCACTTTAGAACCTAGATAGTTATAAGCATCAAAACCAAACTTTTAAGTCTAATCACAAAGTCTATTACTTTCCTTGATTTAAAACAGTAAAATGTAGAGATGATAATTTTCACATACAAGCCTAAGAAGCATTTGGCATTGCAATTAGTTTCATAACAAGTGATTGTTTTTTAAAGCCTTCCCAGAATAAGAATGAGTATCTTGATGCTAGTGTCACTTTTAAATAGCTGTAGCTCCAGGAATGTGTCTGTTCACATTGTTATCTTAAATATACACCTTATCTATCCATATTGCTGTACTTCAGATGTGAAAGTAAAAATAAAGGTGTGAAGTGCCTAGCAGACGTGTATGGATTTATGTAAATTAGAAAACACAGGAATGATCTGTTAGTGCTGAGGCCTTAATGCATTAAAT